TGAACCAACCAATCACAGTGCTGAATGTGTTCTTGTTTGTATTACTTTAAGGCATATTAAGGCTTCAGAGCTGAATATTGATCTCAGTGACAAGATATTTGAGAAGCAATGAAATAAGACATCTCAATAAAGATAAACATGTCGCAGGCAGATTGTATAATCTGCATATAACATTATGGCTAGCCATTTAGAAAACAAGCCTATTTTTAATACGGCGCCTGTCTAGTTAGCCAGATTCCATACGGTGGACTGAGAATCCATTACATAGCGTTTCGCTCTATACATTATTAAAACCAACTAGTCATTATATAAAACAAAACCAAAAGGTCTCTTTTTTAAACGGTTTTTATGTAACTTGCTACGTTTATTTAGATGAAATTTAGTAATTGAAATTGTACCATTTCCTAATGACATGTTGATCTGATATTCGGTAAACACAAGGATATTAGGGGACAAATTTCGCACGACATGTGACATCGCGCCATGTCAAGCGAAGCCGGACGATTTCGCTTGATACATGGCGACTTATGTCTACTGCGACACTGATGTTGCCATGAATGTCAATCAAAGACCGGCAATGTCGAACTACTTCACCCAACGTCCTTGGCGACACGTTTCGCAGGACATTTGTCTCCTAATCTATCCTTCCTGTCAGAGAACCTAACCGGTTACCGGGGCTCCGGCTCGAAGCGCAGGAGAAGGAACGGGGAGGTTTTTACTCAGTAAGAGTCTGACACTCCCTCACGCCTCACCCAGGCGGGAGCAGTCATTCGATGATTTTCCTCCCTAAAAATAAAAGTCTATCCTTCCTCCTAGTGTATCGTACCATACAGATTAAAACCGTTGAAAATAAAAAATATATTTTATATATTATTTGTTTCTAAGTCATCATGTATATCGAGGGGTAACGGGCTATTTGGTTTAAGCGACATTTTGGGCGATATTGAGTTATATATATATTCGGAATCAGCGAATTTTTCTCCGTCGAATGATGCCGGTTTCATTAAAATCGGAGCACTTTTTTGGCGTTTCAAACAATTCTATTTTCATGTTGTTTCCAAAGTGGCAGTGTATTAAACGACATGGATTTCGCATTTTTTATTAAATTATGTACTTGAACCATACCATCATATTAATAACCGAGACATAAACCAGTCACCCTATCTCTAATTATTAAGTCAACATGAGTTAAAGCGTTTTTCTTGTTTCTAATTTTTATTAACAAGTAACTTGAATCATTTTGACTTCCCACTAATCACACGGTGTGATGTCGCTTAAAACATTTGTCCGTCATCCAAATGCGTCATGGTACGTCTCTTAAACATTTCTAGCTGCCTCTATTTTCTACGCAGGGTGCTACTTAAACCAAATAGTTGTTTTCGTTCAGATATTTTGTTTAGTCATAAACCATTTAACCCTCATTTTTTTTTAAATGCATGTCGTTTTATACAGACGATAACATTGATAATGAATATTGAAACATTTTTCCAGTATTCATAGAAATACGAGTCGGTCTTTCAATCACTAAGTTTTAATATGGTACATTTCAATCATGTCATATGATACCATATTTATTTCATCGCCCTGGTGTTAAAAATCGTTATCATCCAACTGGACTATCGTGCGCTGGCGCTTCAGTCACTCCAGAGTGCGCCGAAGACAGACGGACGCACACCGCCAGTGTTTACGTAAAACGCTCATCGAAATTGAATCCTAAGTACTTTAATTTCAAGATGAACTTTGGCAACAATGACAATTTAAGGGCTATTGTGGAGGTTGATGACATACAATCTACGGCTGATTTAGCAACAGCTTTCGACGTTAGCGTCAAAACAATATTGGTACATTTGCGTCAAATTGGCAAGGTAAAAAAGCTTGATAAGTGGGTGTCCCACAAACTAAATGATCAACAGAGCTAAGTATGCATCGAGCAGTGCGAGGGGGACTGGGATGCCGTTCCTCCTTTTGCGAAGCAGTTATGCTAGCTAAGGAGGAGGCGGGACGCGTGAGGCAGCGAAGCGCTGGCTCCTCGCAACCCAGCCATCGCGAAGGACACACCTGGCGTCGGGGATCGCGGGACGATCTCCAGTTACCGTAAGCGCGGGCCTGCGGACGGTGAGCATGGGTGGCTCCCCGTCCGACCAGAAACAGACCCGAGCGTACGGGGCGTCGCGTTCCGCGCGCGCCTCAAAGAGCCATCAGACCACCACAGATGGGGCCCAACAGGGTCGATGCCGATTCGGAGTCGCGGAGAACCTAACGGGTAACCGGGGCTCCGGCTCGACGTGCAGGAGAAGAAACGGGGTGATTTTTAGTCAGTAAGAGTCTGACACTCTTTCCCGCCTCACCCAGGCGGGAGCAGTCATTCGATGATTTTCCACCCTTAAAAAAAATGCATCGAGTAGTGCCTTGCACTGCACTGCTCAATATACACACAAATGAAAGAATTTTGATTTGCATTGTCACCTCCGATGAAAAATGAAATCTGTGTGATAACCACACGCGTTTAGCATGTTGGTTGAATCCTAGTTCAGCACCTAAACAATGCCCTAAACGAAAACTTACCCCTAGAAAAGTGATGGTCACTGATGGTCTAGCGCTCGCGCTATTCTGATTCATCACAAATTCTTACCAAACGGAGTGAGCATTACTACGGATGTGTAGTGTGAAGAACTGAACACAATGATGGAGAAGCTGACACATCTCCAACCAGCACTGGTCAATCGCTAATCTCCATTGCTCCTGCATTACAACGCGCGACCTAAAGCTGCACAAGAGACGGCCTCCACGTTACAAGAACTGGGGTTGTGAAGCTCTCCGACATCCACCCTACTCACCAGTCACCAGACTTCTTTTTCCAGAATTTGGATAACTTCTTGGCGGGAAAAAATTTAATAACCGAGAGGCAGTACAAAATGCATTTGAAGAATTTGTTGCTACCCGTCCAGCTGATTGAAGAAGGGCATCAATAAACTGCCACTGCGTTGGCAACGATGCATTGATTGCATGGGTGATTACGTTGATTATACAAATAAAAAATACATGAAAAAATCGTTTAAATTTTTTCATACAAAACGGCAATTTCAGTAAATGACCCATTAATTTAATTGATTTTGCTGAAATATAATCGATATTCCTATTGAAACTGTAATTATTACTCTAAATAAATACTTTGATATTGTGTTGTGTTTATTTATTCAATGTAAGCATCTGAGATTTTCGGTGATTGCGATATATCCAGGTTGTTTTATCAGCCATTAATCGCCTTAGATGTAAATAAACATAAACATTAAACGTTATAATTTCAATGTTATTTGTCACATAAGTAAATTAGCCTGTCACTCATTTTAGTCTGAATTGGTAGTTAAGATAAATAGCTTGCTTCTATTAATTTTGGGTTCGTCACTTCATTTTTTTAGCTTACTCTGTAAATAGAGTGCATTGTCGCTTAATTTTTTTCCCTTGTAGCCAATTGTAGTTATGAAGTCACTTAAATCATTTTTCCTGACTCTAAAAAAGGGCAGATTGTATTAAGCGACATTTATCTTTGTAATTAAAGGTCCGCTTTATTTAGAATTAGCATCAGCAACTAGATAATTTAATTTAAATTTCAATGCAATTTACCCCGTTCAAATAACTGCAGTAGCGTTTTTGTTACGAATTTTTTTTCGAAATTTCAAACTTTAAAAGGCTCTCCTGTAAAGTTGCAAAAATGTCGCTTAAACCAAATAGCCCGTTACCCCTCGATATGTATTTCATGACCGCTTCCTGCAACTGCAATTCTTTATCGCGTATTTTAGCAACTAACTCAATTCCGTAGTCTTCGTTCAACAGATTGCAAGCGGTTATATCCAGAGGTTTGTAAGTAAGTAGTTTGTGCTCCATATGGACAAGTAATGGATCATATTGTTCACCAAAGCGCAGGCGGGATTCCGCTAAAAATTTTAAGAGCAGCTCACGATCTGAAATTGAGAATTTTGGAAAATTAGGTTGGTATTATACAATGTTAATTTTTAATAGGTATATTTATTTATTAACAAACATTACGAAATAAATAAATGCACCTCAGTGACAGGAGAGGGTTGCATTTTTTTCATCAAATTGATGAAGAAAAATATGATTTAAATTTTTCTTATTTTATAAACACTCATGGTCATATCAGTGACTAATTATAATAAGGTAATATTTTATTTTAATTATTGCATAAATACAAACTTATCTTCGGAATAAACTATTTTTAAAATATAAAACAATAAAAGCATATTTTTAATTACTTTTAAGACTTACCCATTTTTTGCTCTAACACTTCGTGTAAAAGTATTTAATTTTACACTATATTTTAAGATTTACTCTTTCGATAGTAAGATATTATACTATTTGCATTTAAACTAAGTACGTACTATTTTTGCGAAACTTCCAAACAAAAATAAAGTTTTTATTTATCTGTCAGATGTAGCGATCAATATTTTGATGATACGTTTAGTTATCTTACCAACATAGAGAACATTTTGGAGACTCGTTTGCCAAAGAGGGGAAAAAAAAAAACATAGAGAAGTTTAATAAACAAAGGTTTTAATTAATAAATAGATTAGAGCATTACAGTAGTCCGCGAAGCCAGATTAGATTTATGATAAATAATGAAAATAAAACTTGTACCTAATATCTTTCATGTCCTTCGTTTAAAATCTCGTTCGCTTCATGTAAGTGTTGCCATAAGCATAAATAAAGATTCTTTATTTAAGTACGTAATCTTTAGAATATACCTACCCAGATTCCATTCCACATAATGTCATGCCTACTTTTGGCAGGAAATATAATCAATTTGTTTTGTACACAGAACTTATAAAAATCCTGTTTTGAAATACGTGCAGGTTTTATGAAATAATTACAAGAAAGACTAACATAGCCACTATATTATTTAAATTAACAGTGAATATCATAATAAAGTATAAATTAAATAATTAAAATATTTAAATCTACATTTCTTCGTATGTTCTCAATTGTTGCCATTAAAATAAATTATCCAATTTGAAGTAGAAATGGGTAGAAAATTTTCAGGGCGTTACTATATGGACACAATTTTTAATAATCTTCATGAACTCCTCCACTGAAACCTAGAATCACAAAAATACAGAAATTATTTTTTTATTAAGATTTAGTTACATATTTTACCGTACCGAATAGTTAAGAAAATATAACTTACAAAGCCATTCATGTCCGTATCTGCATCATCTATCATTTCTTCGATTTCTTCATCTGTTTGAGGAATTTCAAGTATACGTGTAACCTTCTTAAGATTATTGAAACTTATTAACCCTGAAAACAAAAATGTTCGATATAGTGATAACTTAAATTTTGTTGCGGATATTACCTACCCAGAGTTAGTACTATGCTCTAGTGAGCATATTATTGTTGTTAGGGCCAGTGGTCCCGAATTCAATAACGATAAAAATGAGTTGCTAACGGCTGAAAATAGTAATTTTATCGATTTTAATTCAAAATCTTGGGACCGATATAAGTTTTTATTAAAAACTCCATACAACTAATTTTGAAATTCGATTTTATACCAAGAATTTCCGATTGAGATAGTATAATTTCGGCTGTGGGCGCTAAATCAATATACTTTAAACAATAAAAAAAACTAGTAAGGTAATCTTACTATACTGTCAAGTTTTTCAACCCAATTCAGTGTCATGCACGCCTAGAATCCCAGATAGCGCTCTCCGTCTGTATTTTAATCTAGAAGATCGGTGACTTAAATCAACTAGGTATACGTAATGATTCATCAAAAAATTACCAGTATCATCCATGTCATATAGACGAAAGCTTTTCATTATATCGCCATCATTGTCCAGCGACATAATTTTTCTCATAATGGCCGTTTGGAAGTTCTCAAAACTGAGCCTTCCTGTATTTCCTTTGTCAACGCCGTTAACCATCTTCTGCAACTCCTCTTTTGTAGGTTCATATCCTGCAAAGAGGCAGTCAAGAGGTTTAAAGGGTGTAGTTGGATGCGAAAGGTGGAGATAGAGTGAAACCAGAGAAGAGTGAAACCAGAGACGGATTAACCCGTCGAGCGTCTTTATGAGCACCAGGTGGATCATAAGAAAAAATGCACCACGCTGCTTTCTCTTTTGTAAAATCTATTATTAATTTTTTGTTTTTATTTTGACGGTATTTTTTATTTCTATTGTAATGATCCTTGTTTTCGTGTGCCAATGGCCGAATGCATTTTCTTTCTTTATTTCTGTCTTTCTCCAAATGTCACGTGTGCACCCATTGGATCTTAAGGAACGCGGACGCTTGATGGGTTAAACCTAGAACGCGCCCTATGCAATCATCTCATTGGCACCCTTAATTTTTTTGGTGCTGCCGCCACTGTAGATACAGTCACGCGCATGCGCATCTCGCGGTGCTCCTCTGTAACTCTCTTTTGCAAACCTGTTGAAATATCGTACCCTAAATTTCATACAGAAGTAGTCTCTAAGCTTTGGTAATAAGGTCTATAATGTAGTTAGTGGAGTGCGGTCACCGGTGACTGCTTGGGGATGGGTACTTAATATAGATCAAAGTAAACCTTTTTAAGCAGATGATGTGTTGTCCAGTAAAGTTAATAAATTGTTACCTAAAGCTTTGATGGCTACACGAAAGTCTTCTGCCTTGATTTTTCCCTCACCAGTATAGTCGAGCAGATTGAACGCCTCAAGCAAGTCACGTTGCTGAAAACAAATTAAAATAGATATCATTATAATAAATAATATCCAAAAATTTACCAATAGTGGAAAGGTCGAAAAGTCGGAAATTCCATTAGATTTGTAATTATTGTAACTTGAGCTTTTTGTAACACAGTTGAAAACATATTAAAGACGATGAGTCAGCGATTCGATTTAAAATGTCGTTATTAATGTCGGTACGGAATGAGTTAACGTGTCATTTATATAAAAACTTATGTAACTGTTACCTGTGAACATAAACATTAACAGAATATCTTAATTATTTTATAAACACAGATTACAGCGTAAAAATAAATTAATAAACCCTCAACAAAATTTTCGTTGAATCTTATTTTACTGCGTCTACTTCCCTAGTCCTCTATCTACCTGTCTGGGCGTAAATGCAAATTTTGCCTCAGCTTCTTTCACAGAAGGTGGTAGCAAAACTTCATTTTCATCTTCAGAAAATTCAGCAGTTCCCGATAATGTTCTTTCGTCCATTTTAAACGATACTAATCTAGATGGTTTTGCGTTATTACTTACATTGATTAAATAATCCGTTGCTAACCCTTTCTGTTGGTAATTATGTCGTTAATATTACTATGCATTTTGAACCGTATTTACACCTGGCGGGCTGAGAAAATTGTGGCGTTTTTAAGCATCCAGTGTTGCAATAATAAAAATTACACAGCATATTATAAACATAATGGAAAAAAGGTGGCTGTTATAGTTTAGACAATATTATTTTTACATTAATATTGCTTGCTCTTTACTCTCATCGGTTATTCTTCTCTGCGTCAACCAAAGGTCAGACGTAGATAATACCTACGGCATGTGGTCCAACTATTACCTATTTTAAGTGCATGAAGAATACTAACTAGACCAATTATTCACTTTCATTATTCTTCTGTCAATTACTGCCCATTCAGAGAATAAATAACTATGTGTTTTTGTGTTGTGCATATATACCTGCTCTTCAGTAAGCATCAATTTAGCGCTAACAGTCTTTTCTTTTGGTTTTTCCTTTTCTTCTTCAACAAGGGTTTCTGCTGTCGCCTCATCATTGAAACTCTCATCAATATTCATCATTTTGAAGTATATATTTATTGTTGTTAATAAAAATAAAAAATAAAGCTCGAGAATCAGATGACAATAAAAACTAATCACATACTAGCATGCGTCAAGTAGACTTAAGCATAGCCAAAATAAATAGTCATTTTTTAAAATAAAATGTTACTGATATTCATATTATGACGGAGATAACTAAGGAATAATATTTTCGAAGTAATTTGTTTCGAATTAATCTAACTAATCATGTAACGCTTTACACTGTGTTTTAGCGTTTAGTAATCTTGCATAATAAACAGAATAATTGCATTTCCTATTACTGGCAACATTGTTAAAACGCCAAAAGACAGCCGCCATCATTATTTTGTTTGGTTAGATTTTTAGGTTATCTATTTAACCGACGCCGCTTCTGTTTTTCAATATAACAAGTTAATAAAACAACTAAAATGAAACTCGTTAGGTTTTTAATGAAACTGAGCCACGAGACGGTCACAATCGAACTGAAGAATGGAAGTGTTGTGCACGGAACGATAACCGGAGTCGATGTAGCAATGAACACACACTTGAAAGCTGTTAAAGTTACGTTAAAAAACAAGGAAGAACTTCAGCTAGAGACATTGAGTATTCGTGGGAATAATATTAGGTATTACTTGCTGCCTGACAGCTTGCCTTTGGAGACCTTACTTATCGATGATACGCCCAAAGGACGAGGAAAGAGGGAGGGATTCCCTAGAGGTGGTGGTAGCGCGCGAGGAGGGCGAGGAAGAGGCCGTGGTGGTCGTGGAGGACCAAGAGGAGGTCGCGGCGGTCGTGGTCGTGGAAGGCGTTAAGTGTTTCCTAGTTTTAAGTTCTAAATTTGTGATTACATTTGCTATTTAAGGTCTGAAAGTGTTTTATTTCTTTAACAACGTCTCTGGTTATGTGAAAGTCTATATTTTTACTCTTTAAAAGGCAAAGGACGTGTTCTAAACAGCCAGGGTTTTAGTATAAAACTTCTTTCTAGTGTTTTTTTTATAATATCTAATGAATTTTTGTTCCCGAACATTGTGATGAACTTCCAACATTTGATTACAGTACATGATTGCTTCAAGTAATCTTAACCGTTAATTACATAACATCACGCCTTTTTATCCCCGAAGGGGTAGGCAGAGGTGCACATTATACCACTGTACAATGTAACACCCACTTTTCACTATTTATGTTATGAGTCCCATGTAATAGGGGGTGAGCCTATTGCCATATACCGGGCACAATTCCAGACTCCGTGCTACTACTGAGAATATTTAAAAAACCCAGTAATACTTTGCCCGACCCGGGAATCGAACCCGAGACCCCTTGTCCGGCAGTCGCACTTACGACCACTCGGCCAACGAGGCAGTTATTTAAATACATTCCCATTCATAGCTTGATGAAGCTGTTGAGAAATCATGCTTATGGAAATATTCATACTTGTGAGGTTTGGAAAACTAGTCAAACTATATTATTCAATACCAAAATTTAATTATATTCATATCAGGAGTATTTAAATAACAACCCTGACACACAGTCATGTAATTTGTAAATGTAAAAGATAATTTCATTCTGGAAATTGTGATTATAACTTCAATAAAACAAAATTAAATCCTAAATTAGGTGTTTCTGTTCAAATTTCAATAATAGAATGTGATCTGTAATTATGTCGTTCATCAGAACGACATTGGCATTAGCCAATAACTGCATTATCTTTTAACTCCCTGATCATGTAAAATTAGTTCATATGAAAGTAGACTCTAAATATTCGAAATAAGGTGTATAATGGTGCAAGTGGAGAGTGGTCACCGGTGACCACGAGGGTACAGGGCTGACTGGCTTGTTATGCTATACTCTTGCTACTTACAAACATGAACATTTTATTTTGATTTAAACTTTATTGCACATATAGTGAAATTGGCGAACTTAATGCTGTAGGCATTTTCTAATAGTTGACCATTGGGTGGTGCAGAAAGTTAAAGCGGTAGGTGTAAAATCATAAAATCATTTTGTGGGATTGTAAAAACATTTTAAGAGTAACAATGGAGGTTCTTTCTCGTTCCTTCTCTATTCAAAACTATACTTTGGAACATGCTCCTAGCTTCATTGACAATTCAATTTGGTGTTTCTAAAATGCTTAATTAAAAGCATTAACTAAAATAAAATGTGGTCTTAGACATTGAACTTGATAATAATACTTAAGTATGTATGACTGCCTCGTTGGCCGAGTGGTCGCAAGTGCGACTGCCGGGCAAGGGGTCTCGGGTTCGATTCCCGGGTCGGGCAAAGTATTACTGGGTTTTAAAAAAATCTCAGTAATAGCACGGAGTCTGGAATTGTGCCCGGTATATGGCAATAGGCTCTCCCCCTATTACATGGGACTCATAACATAAATAGTGAAAAGTGGGTGTTACATTGTACAGTGGCATAATGTGCACCTCTGCCTAACCCTTCGGGGATAAAAGGCGTGATGTTATGTTATGTTATGTTACTTAAGTATGTGTTCCAATTTTAAAGTCCTCGGCGTACCTTTTTGTAGAATAAAAATTGTGGATGTCTGCATTTGACTTTTTCTAAAGTAAGTACCTATAATTTGAAACTATTGTATTGAAAAATAAACATTCAGTGTTTCAATTAAATAATCAGTTTTAAAAGAAATGCTATACAAGTCTTTTGTAGACAATGTGTTTTTCATGATGTTTCTCATATTACGTTTTGATATTTTATATAGTCCTGAGTCATAACATAACATCACGCCTTTTATCCCCGAAGGAGTAGGCAGAGGGGTACATTATGCCACTGTACAATGTAACACCTATTTTTCACTATTTATGTTATGAGTCCCATGTAATAGTGGGTGAGCCTATTGCCATATACCGGGCACAATTCCAGACTCTGTGACTGATTTTTTTGAAAAACCCACTAATACTTTGCCCGACCCGGGAATCCAACCCGAGACCCCTTGCCCGGCAGTCGCACCACCACCAGTCGTGCGACCACTCGGCCAATGAGGCAGTCCTGAGTCCTCTATTATAAATATACTCTAATATTTAAAAATAATCTATACAGACAAATAAAATGAGTGTCTGTTTTTAATATCGAAATAACGGCTTTTTGGTAATGCATATGAATATACATACAATACTAACTAATAACATTTTTTGCAATATTTGTCTGTCTGTCTGTTTGTACTGGCTCTGGAATGGCTGGACCGAGTTTGCAAGACCTTTATTGGCAGGTACCTAAGGAGTAACATAGGCTACTATTATTAAAAAGAAAATAGAAACAAAAGAATGATGTGGGCAACAGTTACTTTAAAATAAATGAAGACTGTAATATTCCAATGGTGCCTTTATTGTGTTTCATGTGTTTGAATCCCCAAAGCAGTAGGCAAAGGTGGTCAAAAGTCAAAAGTCAAAATCATTTATTTCAATTAGGCCAGAATGGCACTTTTGAACGTCAACAAAAACAAAAATTTAAAGTGAAGCTATTTGCTCATTCCAAGGCGTAGATTCCTATGGAGAAGAACGAGCAAGAAACTCCATAGGTTACTCTTTTTCAATCAGGTTCCCAATACAATTTACTAGTTACATAGTTTTGCTGTTTGGTTTGTGCGAGAACAATGTAACACTAAAATCCAGTCAATGTGATCAAAAAAGAAAATAACCTTAAGGACAGTAATACAGTCTGGAGCTGACCAGTCCCAGTTGACGGCGCCCGTTCACGAACATGACACGTACACCAGCACCGCCCAACTCAACCATACTGTAGGGAATCGAGCGATCCACTGCACGCGTCACCGCCAATGAGACCTTTGAGTGAACATGACAACTCCAAGCTGACACAAATGAAATCTACTAATCTAATTTAATATTAAGTTAATTACAGGGCTCTCACATTTACAATGGTTATCGAAGTTAAACAATATACAATTTAGCAATATGGCTGTATTATTTACGATTTCATTAAAACAAGTGTTTTTAGTTATCCTGTGGAGCCGGACTAGCCTGCATCCAAGCATTTTTATCCTCTATATATTCATTAAGTTTGTAATATGCTTGTCTACATAAAGTTTTCTTTATACATAATTTAAATTTCGATTCATTTAGTTGTTGTACATCGCCTGGTATCTTATTATAACATTTAACACAGAATCCCATGAACGACTTACTTACTTTCGCTAATCTCGAAATTGGCTGACTTAATCTATTCTTATGTCTAGTTTGATAGTGGTGTCTGTCCGACACTTTATCAAATAACTGTAGGTTTTTCCTAACATACATAATGTTTTCATAAATAAATTGACATGGAACGGTCATAATGTTGATCTCCTTAAACCTTTCTCTGAGTGATTCGCGACGACCTAGATTGTAGATAGCTCTGACGGCGCGCTTTTGTAAGATAAAGACAGACTCAATGTCAGCAGCGTGTCCCCACAGCAAAATGCCATACGACATAATGCTATGAAAGTAACTGAAATACACCAGTCTTGCCGTGTCTATGTCAGTTAACTGTCGTATCTTCCAGACAGCATAAGCTGCAGAGCTCAATCGTCCCGCTAATGATGTAATGTGAGGACCCCATTGCAATTTGTCGTCTACAGTAATTCCCAGGAAAGTTGTCTCTTTTACAAACTCTAATTTCTCACCATTCAATAATATGTCACAATCGTTGCTTTTAACATTTGGCAAAACAAATTTAATACATTTTGTCTTTTTATTGTTTAGTACTAAGTTATTTAATGTAACATGTGCAATGCAGCACCAAGTTAATGTTATGAGTCCCAAATAATGACAGGTGAGTCTATTGGCATAATTGGACATTCCAGATCTTTCTGAGACTGATTTGCTAAGATGTAAACAGTGTCTGTAACTGAGAATCAAACTGCATACTCTCTAGTCAGCAGTCGCTTTTTGGATCACTCGACCAACGAGGCAGCAGTTTACAAGGCCGAAAATGCACCTGTGTGTGGCTGTGTGTGACGGCTCTGGTGTTGTGGGTATCCATGGACGGCACTGATCGCTTCACATCAGGTTATCTGTGGGCTCTGCTCGTTTGTGTTCTATTCAGTGGCGTAGCGTGCCTTGGCCCCGTGTAAAAATAATATTTGTGGTTTGTCGGCGCATTAGTATGGCCATCGACCATAGAGGCGGCGACGCATTTCGGTCATTTCTTTGTATCGGTGCGCGCCGGTCTTGATTCTGATTGATTTGTAATAATTAAACTTACTTATTGTGCAATCTTTTGTTTTTATTTAAAATACCCGACAGAGCTACGACGAGTTCTTATGAAAGGTAAAGATATCTCACAAGATTTTTGCCCAAATTATCGGACATTGATTACTTGTTCTATAGTTTTTGCTAACCTTTGAAAGCATGCAATACGAGGCAAATAAAACGTTTATTTCTTTTGTTATTACTGAAACAAAATGTAAATTGGGAAGTTTTCATTTGACGGCATGGTTGGCGCGGTGACTGGGCAACTGGCTGCCGCGCAACGTGTCGCGGTTTCGATTCCCGCACGGAACATATCTTTGTTTGATCCACAGATTGTTGTTCTGGGTTTGGGTGTCATGTGGATGTGAACTTGTATGTTTGTGAATACACCCACGACGACATAAGAAAAAATGGAAGGGTAGGGAAAAAATATTTCTCTTCTGCTCGTTGGGCCCCCACGGACTACGGCGGCCCCGTATACTTCATACGGCAGATACGGCTCTAGCTACGCCCCTGCTTTTATACCATAAACAAAGTGCGAAAGCATTTTACCAAAGAGGTTTATCGAAAGACTGCCTCGTTGGCCGAGTGGTCGCAATTGCGACTGCCGGGCAAGGGGTCTCGGGTTCGATTCCCGGGTCGGGCAAAGTATTACTGGGTTTAAAAAAAAATCTCAGTAGTAGCACGGAGTCTGGAACTGTGCCCAGTATATGGCAATAGGCTCACCCCTGCCCGCTATTACATGGGACCCATAACATAAATAGTGAAAAGTGGGTGTTACATTGTACAGTGGTATAATGTGCACCTCTGCCTACCCCTTCGAGGATAAAAGGCGTGATGTTATGTTATGTTAGGTCTATCGAATTCTTTAGTGAAACTCCTTGTACTACCCATGAATCGACTTAAAAAGAAATATTCTATTTGGCATTTGTATGTCAATGTCAAGGTATTATGAACTTTCGAGTCAAAATTCAAATTGTTTATTTATGTAAGTACACAAAGAAAACGAATAAAAAAACTGCAAACTGTTAAAATTCCTTTGAAAAAAAAACAAACAAATTTTGTGGAACTTCGTTCCAGTGTTTATTGCTTGTCTATTTTTTTTTGTGTAGAGGTAAATATTATTTCGGTATATTATGCAAATGTCCTGTCAATATTTAGAAATTATTTCGCTGTACTGTAGATGGGAAATAAAAAGAGATGTAATAATTAATTTTAGCGCCTGAAGAAAATGTCTGCGTCATCTGTTTGCTATAATTTTATAATCAGGCGCTATGATAAATGCGTATTGTGCTTGCGATGACCGGTGTCGGTGACGGCATAGTAGAATAAATTTATCGTTCTGTTATTTCCATCCATTTAAGAGCCATCTAAGACAACGGCTGTCGGGTCCGCTAGTTTCTTAGAAAATTATATTTAGAGCTACTCTCACCTGCGATACAGGATTCTCCTAGTGCAGGCATCTGTCGCGGAGAACCTAACGGGTAACCGGGGCTCCGGCTCGACGTGCAGGAGAAGGAACGGGGTGGTTTTTAGTCAGTAAAAGTCTGACACTCCCTTCCGCCTCACCCAGGCGGAGGCAGGCATTCGATGATTTTCCCCCATAAAAAAAAAAGGGCAGGCATCTAACTATGTGAGATCAATTGAACGTAGGTACTTAAGATATATTTTTGTATTTTTGTTATTATGAATGAAGTTTTATTATTATTATATCTGCACATGCTGCAACGAACGCTCTTGTTTTTAAAATCAGAATTCAGATATCATCAGATTACAGATATCATCTCGTCATATAGACAGAATACAGAAATCAAATTACTTAAAAAAATGTTCAGATACTACTTTTGTAGGAACTAATGTTGTGGATTTTTCATAATCGGGGATTAAGATGTAGTACTTACCTACACTTTTTGCTTAATAAACTAAACCAAAAAGAGCCTCTAGTTGAGTTTGAGTTTTAAGTTTGAGCCTCTAGTACCTACTTTTTTTTTAAGGGGGGAAAATCATCGAATGACTGCTCCCGCCTGGGTGAGGCGGAAGGGAGTGTCAGACTCTTACTGACTAAAAACCACCCCGTTCCTTCTCCTGCACGTCGAGCCGGAGCCCCGGTTACCCGTTAGGTTCTCCGCGACTCCGAATCGGCATCGGCCCTATTGGGCCCCATTTGTGGTGGTCTGATGGCTCTCTCTAGTACCTACTTAAACGTTAATTTCTGTCATTTCATTTTAGTTCCAATGTGACTATGTTAGGCTTTAAAAAGTGTCAGAAGCGTACAACGGACGGCAAGAATAAATCAAAGAATTGTTCGACTGGTCGATCGGGAAGGGTCGTGTACTCATTGCCTAAAAAGTCGCGTAAGGAATTTGTGGACCTCGTGTTAACGATTATGGATTCCGATGGACCAAAACCTATGAGGAACATGAAGCCAGTTGAGGTAATCTTTTGAAGAGCCTTTGCTATTTTTTATGGATTGTCGGTATGCATATGTGAGCACCATGTTCGACTATAAGATTTTTTTTTTTTTCAGTAAGTTTTGTAATGAGTATAATGCGTCAAGCGTGTCTTTGCATTGTTCTCACATATACGTACAGTATTGTAGTATTGTAATATGTATCAGAGACAATGTAGTGTAGAACATACATTTTTTAAAAGAGTAACGAATGGAGTTTCTTTCTCGTCCGTGCCCATTCGAATCTACATTTTGGAATGAGCACCTAGCTTCACCTAGCTTCACTGACGGACTGACTGTCAGACTATTATTTATTTAGTATTTGTTGACGTTTCAAAAGTACCAAATTATTGTTTAATTGAAATAAATTTGACTTTGATATATTTTATTTAAAATAACCTTTAACTAGAGTCGTGGTGGATTAAGACGCCCGCTTCTCAAGCATGAGGGTGCGGGTCCGAAACCTTCCAAGAGCAAGTACCATTGTGACTTTTTCAGAGTTAACTATATGTACTTTCTAAAATAATTTAGACACCACCACAAAAATGTTTTGTTTTATAGGGAAGGGGGTAAACGAGAAGACAGACCGTGTGAGGGCTTAGTTCGTGTTTGATTCATTGGAACAGACCAATCACAGGGTTTAGTTTACTTTATGTTGAAACTAAACTGCGTTAGATACGTGCTCTGATTGGCCGGCTCCAATGCCCAACCAATCAGACGCGGTATCCTTTATTGTCGTTTCTTGTACTTGTACCTCTGATTGGCTGTCTCCAGTGAACCAAACTCGTAACGCGATGGAAATCCTCATGGACTTTCATCATCGTTTCACTTATCAACAGCTTTCATCATTCGTCATCCTCACGACACGTCGTCGACAATTTGAGACGAAAGAAAATTTTTGACTAATAAAATGCTTTCTGTACAGAAACATCGTACCGGTGCCGATCAGTTCAGCGCAGCGCATCACGGCGAGTATGAGGCCAGAGTTCAGCAGAGTTCCGACAAAGTGGACAGAGTACTCGCCCATAATAAGGCGTGCCCTAAAATGTATGATGAGTTGGACAAAAGACGGTCTACTGGGAAGGTTGGTCTTTTAGTATTTTACCGTGTAACTTAGGCACCTAATAACTCGGGCCTGCGGTCGGCGAGCTTGGTTGACTCGCTGCCCGACCAGAACCAGACCCGACCCGAGCTCTTTGAGCCATCCGGTTTTTAGTCAGTAAGAGTCTGACACTCCCTCCCGCCTCACCCAGACGGGAGCAATCATTCGATGATTTTCCCCCTTAAAAAAAGGACCACCCTGGATGGGGCCCAATAGGGCTGATGTCGATATGGAGTCGCGGAGGACTTGACGGGTTGCTGGGGCTCCAGCTCGAAGGGCAGGAGTAGAACGGGGTGGTTTTTAGTCAGTAAGAGTGACACTCCCTCCCGCCTCACGCAGGTGGGAGAAGTCATTCGATGATTTTCCCCCCTCAATAAAAAGGTACCTAATGATAGTAAAATCCAACAATAGGAATAACTTAGTATATACTAATTAATTGGTTTAGTACCATACAAAATAACAACTAATTAAATAAAGGAAACATATATATTGTTTAATAATTTTCCCCTAAGACAATTAAAATTAATTGTTAAGACTGATTTTATAGCTCCTAAGTAGTATTTAATTGTTATTTTAACCTGTTTGTTTAAGGTATATGTGTAGAATTCATAAGAATTGTTTATTTATATTTTACCGTTCCATAGACTAGGGATTTACCCTGTTTGATATTTTTTTATAATATTTCTTCTTTATCAAAAATATACGCAGTTTTGACGTCATTTTTTCTTATGCCAAAAAAAAAAAATAAAAAAAAAATCTTGACTATAGTTTTGATTTTAATTCCCAAAGTTGCCAGTCTTGTGCATCTATGAAAATGACACCCACTTTTCAGTTTACACTGGTTGAATATATTGATTTAGAGACGAATGTAATCTCCCTCCCGCCTGGGTGAGGCGGGAGGGAGTGTCAGACTCTTACTGACTAAAAACTACCCCGTTCCTTCTCCTGCACGTCGAGCCGGAGCCCCGGTAACCCGTTAGGTTCTCCGCGACAAAATCCTAGTAAGGGGCAACGTTTTATAAAAAGAAAGAAAAGAGAAAGAAATACTATCGTTAATTCAGCATTTACTACATTTTCAAAGAATGCGTAACTGCTAGAACCACTAACTACTTATTTTACATTGTTTTCAGCCCGTTCTTAACACCAATAACGCAAGAGGATCAGTGACATCTTATGAGGCAGACCATTACGTCTGTGTAGACTGCCAGAGATATGAACGAGCTCGCAGACGAAGGAAACACTTCAGGAGATTGATGAATCACCAGTCCTACAAACGTTTTAAAATAAAAAAGGCCAATGCTTTAGCAAGACTCATGAAACATAAACGAAATAAACCATATAAATATACGTCGGCCGTGTATCAATTTTCAAAAATTGCTAACAATAAAGGTTGCCAATGCGCGACTCGCATTGTATCAACGAAATCGAAGATCCCGCCAAAATGCGACGATTATTTTTTATCTATGATGCCGAAAAAAATGTCAGTTATGAAGGCGCCAAATGTTGTAACCTCAAATAGGGGGTTAGTTTTGAGAAGTGTGGAATCACCGATTTATGATATGAGAAGTGCTAAAAATGTTAAGGCGGATACCGATTCTGGTCGTCCTGATACGATAAGCAGCCCTCGATCAACGAGTAGTTATAATAGCTTTAATTCTATGGAACACGAACCTATGGTGAAATAAATTTGGCAATCGTGGGAACGTACGACGAATGCGTTTGTCAGTGCCTACTATTTAAAGGTTACGATATTTCCAAGCTAAGCGTTGAATCTTGTTTCACCGAAGACAATGCAAAGGTCTGATTGTGTAATAAATTGTTGGTTTTTATTTCATACTTTTTGTTTAACTATGGCAAACTAATTAATTTATTGTGACAGGCAAGAGTGTAGTCGTGGTCGTGGGTGGACCGCAGGATCGCAGGATCGCTGATAGTGACATTAAAATATTTTTGGACGTCATAGATATAGGACCTATTGTTTTCTTCGACTCAGCGATCTATTCCTAAGGCATTCGTGACCACTAATATACCAAGAAGCCAGAAGTAAGAAGTACAACGGTATGACTATCATGCGCTCTTTTACGGCATACGGTTTGCCGTTATCTCCATAAGTAAGTAGTTTCGTTGTAATAGGAAAAATGAGTCTTGGAATTTTCAGGCTACTGACCATGACTTCATTATTTTTTCTATGGGCACATCATATTTATTTCTGATTGCTGACCGCTGTCGAGTGGTTATAAGCTTGGAATTCAAGTTAATCGTCCAGTAAACTCCCGTTGACCTTATTTCATGGGGTTTACCACATTTTCTATGAATTACTGTGCGAGTGTACAATTATTGATTTGTTTGTATTTTCCTTGTCAAGTTGAGTAGCCTTGTAAATGTCTACCTACTAGTGCTTTGCTCGTATTTTCGTACATAAGTATGATTACGATGATAAGAAATATTAGGATTGTCGAGCAAGTGGTTTCGAGTACCTTTTTTTATGGGATAAGCCGGTAAACGAGCAGACGGATCCCCTGATGGTAAGCAATAGGCGTCGCCCATGGACATCTGAAATACCAAGGCGTTACAAATGCGTGACCGGCTTTTTGGGAATTGGGAATTTGAGGATTGTGGAGGATTCGGGGATTGGGGAGACTGGGTAGGGCAGGGGCTAATAGGGCCTCCGGTAACCTCACTCACGACGAAACACAACACAAGGGTTGTTTCACGTCGGTTTTCTGTGGGGCCGTGGTTTCGCTTCGGTCGAGCCAGCCCATTCGTACTGAAGCATGGGTCTGCAATCGATTTTTCACTTAACTTATATTAAATTCTCGTCAAAAACCTAGGTGGATTCAGTGGTCATAGATTAATCAAAACTGGTTATTAATTTCTGTACCGCGTCCGCACCACAACGCGTCGACCGACCTAACAAATAAAGGGAGGTCGCCACGACAGCCACTGGACGTAGGTCGCTTCCTACCTATGAGGAAATCATTCACCTATGTGAAGCAGTGGACTTTTTGTGGCTGATATGATAATGAAGATCAGAGACTCCTTGTGCAGCAGTTCCAATGGGGCCTACCGTATTGCTGTTCACTAGATGCCGCTAGTGTGAACAGCTCTTTCTTCGTCCAATAGGGAATTAGCTAATATCACACCATTGGATATTAATTATTTGCCAGCTGCTTTGATTGGATAAAAAAACCCTTTTTTATATTGGCGCCATTTTGTGAGTAAGAAAACGTTAGCCCCTATTGCAATCTCTTGACGATCGAGGTGTGATGTTATAATTAAAACCAGTTATACCTAAGTAGGCGTTAGGCGAGTAATTAAGTAATATATCAACATTGGAATTATTGGAACTGGTTGATTGCGATTTATGTAAATTGTAAAGTATGGAAGGACAATATGCGTAATGTAGCATTTGTAACATCACGCCTTTTTATCCCCGAAGGAGTAGGCAGAGGTGCACATTAATGCCACTGTAAAATGTAACACTCACTTTTCGCAATTTATGTTATGAGTCCCATGTAATAGGGGTGAGCCTATTGCCATATACCGGGCACATTTCCAGACTCAGTGCTACTACTAAGAGTTTTAAAAACCCAGTAATACTTTGCCTGACCTAGGAATCGAACCCGAGACCCCTTCCTCGGCAGTCGCACTTGCGACCACTCGACCAACGAGGCAGGCATGGGGATAGAAAAAGTAGGTACATTATTCCTTAATTAGACACTTTTGAAACGTCACATTGAATTGTCAGTGAAGCTCGGCACTCGTTCCAAAGTCTAGTAGAATGGAGAAGGACGAGCAAGAAACTCCAATTTAAGGTTTTGACAATCTCACAAATATATTACTTATATGATAGGTACTTTTACTTCTCTTATGATACCTACTAGGGATGATTTTGTTTAATTGCCATACATTACATCCTAATCTCCATGACATCAGGCTGTTTTTAGGCAGGTAATCTGTTTATTAACTCAGTCTGACAATAAAGGTCGAATCATGGATATTATTTTTAATAGTCGTGCTTGCGGAAGGCACCCTGATAAGCATGACAGACGGATGTGCTTGGACTTAAAAGATAGCACCTAAATGGCTAAAGGCATCGATGTCTAACACTACTATAGACCGATGGCTAAATAAATAGCTTGCAGCTTAGCAACAAATACCTAAGTTCTATAAAGCTTCAAATGAAATAAAAAACATCCTTAAGTTTAACAAAAAATCGTAACTATCAATATCCTTGTTGAATATTGCTAAAAACACAACAAAAAGTCAAGAATCTAAAGTTAATTCGTTACAAAAAACGATCTAATGACCGATTGACGGTCACCTGGAGGGGTCATTATCTAAACCATTGCCTCATAAACCGGCCAATTAACATTTATGCGTGATGTATCAATATTGACAAGTACCGAGGTACCTGTTTTACTTGGTAGTATTATGTACGTATATTATGTGACTAATAAAGCCTTCAAGGCTCAGTTCGCGCGAGATTCATACGCATATAGACGTTTAATCGATTCTTATTGCGTAAAGTCGTAATAATAATTTAAAAAATCATGAAATAAAATTTAAAAAAAGTTGTCTTTGAAAATATTTGACGTTATTTTTGGCGCGAATTGGCTTTATAGGTTATGTTTTTGTTAATTTTGTGATTTTCTCGCAAAAATGGTTAAAAAAATGGATGTGAACGTGTTTATTGTTTTATTTTGTTTTATTAAAGTGGTATTGTTACAAGGAACTGGTTCGGGGAACAATGGAAACTGTAAGTTAATTTACCTTCTCTCTTTGCTTGAAATTGCAAATTTTTTTTTCAATCCGTCGACGATAACCTTGTATGTGCGTATGTTTTTTATTTTGTTTAACAAACAATTAATTTTTTCGCTATTGAATCATATAATGGACACAAAAGATAACATTAATTAATTCTCTATAAACGTAGACGGATAATCCTCGGTGATTTGCAAAATAAAAAAGAATTAAATATGACCTTTCACATGAAGCGATGACATTGACGGAACTTGAATTAAAAACTTTAACCTTTTTGATGCTCGAATCATAGAGATCGATTTGTTTTTTTTTGTCTCAGTCTAGGAAAAATCTTGATTTTAATTAGAAATTGAGGAAAAGCTGATTTTATTGTACCTGACTGAGAATATTAGGTTAATTTAATATAGATACCTACTTACTTAGGTAGTTAACTACGAAGAGCTCATTACAAAGTAACAGAAACTAATACTAATTGGGTACTTTCCTTAACCAAAAATAAATTATTTATACAATAAAATATAAAAAATAATCACACTTTCATTAATTGCTTTTATGACTAATTTAATTTTAGCATTTTTCCATCAAATTTTTAAGAAATCAGTAAGTACATTTGACGCTAAAAACGTGACGTCACAATATTCACAATCGCGTACAAATTCATATAAAACTGTCGTTTTTGACAGTTCGAAAAATAATAAAAAATGATAAAATGCATTTGTTTTGTTTTATATCGAGAAAAAAATTCTTATAAGACCCACAGAAATCGATAACACAGATTTTAATCTGTTCAAAGTCAAAGCATTTATTTCAAGTAAACCATAATTTCTTACTTTTGAAACGTCAACAAATACAAAATAATTAGTAGTCTGTCAGTCTGGCCGTTACTGAACCTATAGTCCATCTGTTTAGGTAATTAACTAATGGTAAACAAAGAAAACCACGTGACACAGAGATACTTAACCTACTATTACTTCAAATATTTCTCGTGTTTTAATTTTAACTAAATTCACTTTAAAATCGTTCATTTGTCATACACACACATACAAGTACAAATGCCTAAATCGTACAAGAGCCTAGCCTATGGGTCTATTTCATTATCATGTTTAAATAGAAACTATTCTGAATCTGATGTACGGATTTCTTTCTTGTACGGATATGTGTCTTTGGGCCAAGTTTCTTCAATATATTTGAACACATTAATTACAAACGATGTATACCTAAACTTAAGTAACTTAATAACAAAAACAAAACAAAGAAACAAGATAAATTCAACAAAATAGGAACGCGAGCGCAAACGACGAGAGAGCTGTCAATGGCGCCTGATTAACCGACTAAACGTAATACACGCTACTTTCATTGTCGCGCTACATCTTAGTTGTACTCTTTAATTTGACAACATTATTTTGCTTCGTTCTTAAAGAAGGGTTTTGGATACCTGGGATTTTAGGCTCTTTATGGTGTGTATTGTAATGAAATATTATATTATTTAATAAATGTTATTAAATTAATATCCTCAAGCAGATATATATAATATTTACTAAAAAATAAGTGAAAAGGATCAGAAACATAACATTTAATAGAGAAAACTGTCGTAAAAAGGGAAACAATTTTATTTTCTTATGAAGTATTTTGAATCATGGAAATGTCAACTATAAAGAACTCTTTTTATGGTTTGTTTACAAATAGTTAACTACCTAAACAGACGGAGTATAGGTGCGCGTTCCAAAATGTAGATTCGAATTGAGAAGAACGAGCAAGAAACTCCAATCGCTACTCGTTAAAAAAAAAAAACAATAAACGTTCGTTAATTATTAATAATTTAATAATTATATGTAGTACCCTAGTAGGTACCTTAAGTTTTTTTTTTATGGCATAAGACGGTAAACGAGCAGACGGTATGATGGTAAGCAATCGGCGTCGCCCATTGACACCTGGAACACCAGAGGTTTTACAAGTGCATTACCGGCCTTTTGGGGATTAGGAGTTTGATGATCGTTGGGGTTTCAGGGATTGGGGAGATTGGGTAAGGGGAGGGTAACTGGGCCTCCGGTAACCTCACTCACACGACGAAACACAACGCAAGCGTTGCTTCACGTCGGTTTTCTGAAGCATGGCTCTAATAAAAACTGGTTCACAAATAAATATACCTCTAATTTAACTTAGTTTACCAGCAGATGATCCGTCTAACTCGTTACCCGACCTATCACATTAAAAATAAAATAAACTAATAAGCTGAATTCCTAGCAAAGTTATTCTCGTTCCGATAGACTGCAGATGTGAAAGAATAAAATAAAATAACTACGTATAATCTAGCCAAACTAGTTTTTTCTAAGTACAAGCTGGTTTTTATTATTTTAAAATTGTGTTTCGCCGTTTATTTACATTTTTGTTGAAGGCTTTGGGGCTCCGGGTCGACGTGCAGGAGAAGGAACGGGGTGGTTTTTAGTCAGTAAGAGTCTGACACTCCCTCCCGCCTCACCCAGGTGGAAGCAGACATTCGATGATTTTCCCCCCTTACAAAAAAATTACTATGAAATATAACAATGTCTTTTTCGGTAAGTAGAAGTGCGTACCTATCTTATTTATTTACTAGCTACTTCCGCGCGATTTTACCCGCTCTGCTTAGCTCCTATTGACCGTAGCGTGATGTTTTAGTAGTCTATTGCCTTCCTTGATAAATGGACTATCGAATACAAAAAGAATTTTCCAAATCGGACTAGTAGTTCCTGAGATTAGCGCGTTCAAACAAACAAACAATCAAAGAAACTGGTCAGCTTTATTTTTTTTTAAAGGGGGAAAATCATCGAATGTCTTCTCCCGCCTGGGCGAGGCGGGAGGGAGTGTCAGACTCTTACTGACTAAACACCACCCCGTTCCTACTCCTGCACTTCGAGCCGAAGTCCTGGCAACCCGATAAGTTCTCCGCGGCTCCATAGCTTTATATAATACCTAAGTGATAATATTTAAATTTAAAGTCACAACATTTAAAATCAATTACAGTAACTTGATCTTACTAGTCTTACTTCTTTCTTACTAATACCTAGTTCATTAGTCCGTCAGTAAGGTAATGAAAAAATATTAGACGCGTTTTTTTTTTATTTTGTTGTATAAAGTTACAATACTTAAATAAAATGCAGTTAAGTTCAGGAGTGGGAGGTCGTTACGTCACAACGTGCTACATTTTGTTGCACGCTGTGACGTCACACGACATTTCAAATCAATATATCGTCGAAAGCATTTAAATTGGTGAGAAAAGAAAAAATACGTGTTTAAAGTTTTAAAATGATCTACCAGACGGACATTAAAATAAAATTTAGGAAACTACCCTATTCTTTATTTTTTCGTCTGTATTTTTGCTAACCTTATCCTGAATAATGCTTCAGTACCTATTATGGAATTATACATTCTGGGCTAACTGCTGTAGTTTGGAACAGAATGTCATTTTGTGATGAATCAAGTAGAATGCTGTAGGTATGACAACAGGATTTTGGACACATAAGTATCAAAAATGTGCGAATTAATCAACGAAGTTTTACCTGTAACCTTGAGAATACTGCATCAATCTGAGTTAAGCAAGGTGGGGTTTTTTCAAAGTACCTAACTATTAAAACAAACTGGTTTTAAGAAGAACTCTACTGACGTCACCCCACTTCGGTTAGCGGTTAGCGGGGACTTATAGTAACACTAGTTTTTACCCGCAGCTTCGCTCGCGTCACAAAAGGATAAAAAGTAGCCTATGTGACATATACCCATACACACAGCGCCATCTATACCAATTCTTTTGTTTTTTCTCGGGAATATCAAATTTTTCCGGAATAAAAAGTAGCCTATTATTTAATCTGGATTTCTAACTTTACGTCTGCAAAGAAAGCAATCGGTTTAGTAGTTACGGCGTGAAAGCGGAACAAACAAACAAACTCACTTTCAGATTTATAATATTAGTAAACAATCAAACAAACTCACTTTCAGATTTATAATATTAGTAAGGATATAAGGATTCTACTTGTTAATCCCCGAAGATAGCATAATAGATACTATAATTGCCATTTTTTGCCTGTAGGTAAAATTTTTTTCAGTCAGTCAGTCAGTTTGTCAGTTAGACATAACATAACATAACATAACATAACATCACGCCTTTTTATCCCCGAAGGGATAGCCAGAGATGCACACTGTGGCACTTGGCAATTAATGACAATGTGACAACCACTTTTCACTATTTATATTATGAGTCCCATGTAATAGGGGGTGAGCCTATGGCCATATACCGGGCACAATTGGGTTGATGACGGGGTATGAAAATTAAAAATGTAATTAGTCCGTAAGTTAGGTAATGAAAAAATATTAGACACGTATTTTATTTTTATATTTATATTTATATTATGAGTCCCATGTAATAGGGGGTGAGCCTATTGCCATATACTGAAAAAAATGTCATGGAAATACGCACATGAAACACTATAGTCAGAATTTTAATTAGATTCCAGATTTGACAATAGCTACTGTCATTTTGTGAAATAATGATACCACATATAATAGTGTAGTGATGCACACAAAAATCGATAAACAATCAGTGTGTGTCTTTTATAATAAATGTTACAGAAAGTGACAGGATAGCGATAGCGATGACGGCGACAATTTATAAAATAACTTATTACCATAATACATCTATCTGTTTTATTTGTCATGTTCCTTCATGATTACATTTTTTTATTTATTTCACACACAATTATAAAAAAACGTCTCAGATCGTTAATTAATCGTCAAAACTAAATTATCGGTTTAGAAATATTTAATTTCCTGATAAACTTAGTTCACGAGAGTAAAATTATAATTATTATAAACGAGAAGAATCGATCCAGAAATATTTCATTTCCATATCGAATAATTTCGCAACGTCACTATTTAGTACTTGTCATAACGTTGCCACACTGAAATTGTCAAATCTGGAATCGAATTAAAATTCCGAGTATAGACGTAAATTTGTAGGCACTATTC